ATATGTATTTTTTTATTTTTTTTTTTGTTTTTTAATTTTCTTTTTCTTTTTAAAAAATAAAATTATGTATATGTATTTATAATATAAATACATACATATTATTATCACTTTAATCTACAAATTTTACATACAAAATATTTAAATTTGTTATTTTTATGTATATTTATATATCACAAAATACTCTATATATATTTTATAAATTTTAAAATTAATTATCCGGTTCAGCAATTGACCCGGTGACCCGGCGGTTGAACCGGTGACCCGGTGACCCGAAGACTTGCCCGGGTCGATTACCGGGCCGGGTTTAAAAACTATAGTTCACATAATAATTTAGCCAAAAAATCTAATGAAATCATGAGAAGCATATTACTATAGGGTAATGTTATAGTCCGCGGAACCATTCCGTCGAATTTTATAACCGTTAGATCAACTATTCCCGACGATTACATGATGATCTCCGATCGAATGATTATGTTTATAAACCCGTACCGTTTTCTGTTTATGCATACAGCAACATCATCTTCTGTCTCATTGCAATTTGGCTGCAATTTCTATCTCAATGATTGGGTTGACATTAGTTAGGAATTTAATAAAATAATCTAATCAACAAATGCATATCTATATCTATATAAAAGGTCATCCTATTTACTAAATTTTGTAAGAAAAAAGTCAAAGGATAATTAATGCATTCTATTTAAGGATAATTAATGCATTATATTTTTATTATTTTTTTAATTGTATTATTATTTCATAGCTAAAAATCGGTATGCATTAATTCCATCCTTAATTGATGTGTTTTGCAATAAAATCGACAGATAGACTTCAAGTAAAAACATTTCTCATTTCAAATTTAAATTTAAATATTAAAATTTCTTATCGTTTTGTTACATTAAAATCCTGAATGAATTGCCTGCCATAAAATCGGACAAAATAATAATTGTATAGAATTCAATTAAAAATGTCTTATTTAAAATTTAAATTTTAAAATTCCTTATCATTTTGTTACATTTCCGTATGATTTGTTTCCCATAACATCAGACGGATTTAATAATTGCAAAGAATTCAAGTATGATTTCGAATTTATATCAAAGATGTTTTAATAATGCATAGAATTTCAAAGATATTTATTTATTTATTAAATTCTAAAAAAAAATTGTGTATATTTTGTAAAATGTTTTTACAACATGTTATACTTTAAATTTATTTACATAATTTAAAAATAATTACATTAATAAATAATATTAACATATTAAATATTCTTATTACATAGAATAAAAAGAAGACTACATCTATAACATGTATAAATAATAATGACATTATATTACAATAAATTTTATAATAAAATAATATGAGTATTATACGAGGAACAAGATTACGTAAAATTGTTATTTTTCTTATATAAAAGAATAAATATATATATATAAATTAAATTTATATTGTTATAAATATGTGAGCTAGATAATATATTAATTAATTTACGGCTAGCGCTACCAGACTTATGTTTAATGTCCCGACAACAAAAATGAAGTTGATGAAAAGAGGTAAAAAAATAGATAATCAAATTCTATTATTTTTTAGGCCTGAACGGACAAGCCCTATGGTCCACTCATTTAATATCTCCCGTGAATCGCACGAACTACTTAATGAACAAACTCTGTGAAAATGACTCATTTAATATTTCTGTCTTGTGCATTGCACGAGCTAGGTACTAGTATACAAATATAAGTCAATTTCGATATGGGACAAATGACATATAGCATACCTAATTAATAATAATTCACGTGAGGCCCATCAAAAAAACCTTAATTTTCATCAATCATTTGCAGTCTATGATATCTTTTGTTTTCATTTATATAGTAAGTATGTATGTATGTACGTGGCTGATTATTCTATTAGCTGTCCGAGTGATGGATGATATGATAATAATAATAATTGCTAACATGCATGTGAGCCTTCTTCTTTTCATTTTGATTTGATATTCGAAGCTTCCTAATAAAACTCTACCATCATATTATATAATTATTATTATTATTATTATTATGAAACTAATAAAATCAATACACCGCATTTGAATTTTCAAACGAGGATAATTGATTTTCTTTTGCTTATAAATATTGTTGGACAAACGAGATATAATTTGGAGATCGCTTAGAGACGTGCAATGTTAGACCAATACTACTAAAATAAAAAAACAGAAACAACAAATAAATAAATAACTAAAAAATACAGGAGTCCTAACAAACAAAGCAAACGAAACACACACCTAGAAACAACAAATAAATAACTAAAAAACGAGCTCTTCCTGAACAGAGCGACCAAACTAAAACAGCAGACAAAAAACGACCCTTTGGAGAAATTCGCAGCCAAAGAAGCCATTCCCTTCACTGTCGAACCACCCAGCTGAAACGGAAACCCAATCCCCGAACAAACCAAGAACCGACCCGCCCTCCAGCCGAAAGACAACAACGGCGCCCCCCACACCACCACCGCCCGAAAACGGCTAACACCACTAGTCAATTCCGACAACATCGGTCCTCCCCCGAACCCAGCACCAGAGAACAGGGGAGAAGGGAGCATGAGAGGCGTCATAGCCCTAGTTTACTTAAATAATACTAATAGTTTTATTAATATGATATAATTTACTTGTTGTATATAGAATGTTGGCTCCACTATAGAGCCGACTATTAGCTTTGTTATACCACAAATACTCGAACCGCTGGACCGCTCCTCTCGAACCGGGTTGCGTCTCCTTGATCGTCGGTACCTGCAAAGCACGCCGGGGGTGGTCCCGGCGCGAACACTCCGACGCTCAAGTCAGTGATGGTCTAGAGAGAAAACGGCAGAGTAACGAGATAACTCGTGAATGTGTGTTGTGTAAAATGAATGAACCTGCTCCTTTTATAGGAGAAACTTGGAGAGTCCTCACGAGACAAGAAGTCTTCTTGATGTTTATCTCTATTGTCTCTAGAGTCCTTATTGGTATCAACCTCCTCGTAACTTGATCTCAACGCCATTATCAAGTTCCAGCCCCTTCAGCGGCACACGAGGGCCGCCGATCACACTAGGGCATCGAGTACTTAGGGCCGCCGAGCGCCCCTCCAAGCCGACCTGCCATGGGTGCTAACGTAGAGCCGAGCTCCCAACGCCGACCACCTTGTTGCCCTTCCTAGGCCGAGCACTCGGCCCATGCCGAGCATTCAAGAGCACCGGGCACGCAAAGACGCCGAACTCATCTAGCTACTCAACCATAATGCCTAGCCGGCTCCCTCCATATGACAGTGATAACCGGATCACGCAACCGGTTCCTCACGAACCGCTGTTAACGACTACATCAAGCTTCATAGCAAAACTGCAACTATTTAAATAGCAAATACTTATTGATAAGTTATGTTACCATAATATCACATATATAAATAGCAAATACATTAAACTCTACCTTCTAAAATAACCTTTATTTTTCCCATGCTTGCATGGGCTTGTCACTCAAAAAATTAATAAAAATCAATATCATTCCAATTAAATAAAACACCCAAATAGGAAGCTTAACTAAAATACTCTTCACATTTCAATAAATTATATCACCGATCTTGCCATGAAGCCAACAGTCTTATTACTTAAATAAGACTAATATAGTTTTATTAATATGGTTGATTTATTTGTTGTATATAGAAAGTTGACTCTACTATAGAGTGAACTGTTGGCTTCATAGTAAAACCGATAATATCACTCTATCTAATAATTTAAAATAGAAAAATAAACCTAACGTTTATGACTTCCTCAATTATTCTCTCTCTTTTTTTTTT